GGTACAGTGTTGCATGACCGTGCAATTGTCAAAGTGTGACAGCGCTGAAAGCTGGAAATTGGCCTGGGCAGGAGGGGGGGGTGAAAGTGCCCTGTAGGCGAGGGGTTTAAGCACAAGCACTGTCATGGTCACATATGTTATATGGACTGATCTATTCAAGGAATTGGTTTGCACTTTGTTGTTATGGATGATTTGTATTAATACTTTATATTTGCACAGCATTTCATTATATAGCAAGTTTTATTGTTTATCATGCGGATAGGTTTTAGATGGCAGCGCTACATCACCATTTTTTATTAAGTGCCTACACTGTACATCCTCACAGTATAAATAACTGGTTTATGGATATATGACGGAGATATATGTTAATACAGCAAATGGGGGAACAGAGGGCAGACAATTTATTACATTCATAAAAGAAACATTTCCTACCAGTTTCACTAGAGGAGCTGGACGGCCTGAACGTGAATGAAGACGATCGGAGTCTCTTCTCCTCATACACACAGAGGCCTACAAAAAAAAACAAAAAACAAATACATCAATATAAATACTACATAAATATTTGTAAAGGTTTGCCGTATCAGTGGTTCTGAAAATATGCCTGTATATCAGGGTATCACCAAAAGACAGACTGGTAAGGTAGACCCCTCATACAAAATCCTTCAGGATCCCAGTCGGGTCTTGAAAAATATGGAGCACACCAGCAAAGCACAGGTTGACTTTACAGAAGGGCAGGGCAGCACAGTGGCTAAATGGTTGGCACTTCCGCCTGGCAGTACTCGGGTTGTTGGTTCGAATCCCAACCAGGGCACACCTGCTTGGAGTTTGCATGTTCTCCCTGTGCCTGCGTGGGTTTCTTCTGGGTACTCTGGTTTCTCCCACACTCCAAAGACATGCTGGTAATTGGATCCTGTCTAAATTGTCCCTAGTATGTGTATGTATGAATGTGAGTTATGAACCTTAGATTGTACGCCCCTTGAGGGTTAGGGACTGATGTGAATGTACAATATATATGTAAAGTGCTGCATAAATTGACGGTGCTATATAAGTACCTGAAAAACAAATATAAAAAATGATATATAATTCCCTTAGAACTGAACAATCCAAGTGTTAAGCTTTGTTCACAAGTGCAACTAGTGGGCAGTAAAACAATGCGGTTGAGCCGTGCGCGGCTTCATCACTACCAACTGCCTGCCTGAACCAATGCATGCAGCTGCTCAGGGCTGTATAGACGCGGTTGCTCTGTGCATTGTAGGCATGGCAAAAATTAAACATGTCGTATTCGCTGAATGCGCCCAATGCAAGTCTATTGGCATGCGCTGCTGCGTCATTGACTGGGTTAAATCAAGTGGTGAGTAGGCGACATATCGCCTCAATGCCTGTCAAACACCCTCTGAAAAGAGGTCCACTGCACATCGCTTTTCAGAGGGGTGGCATAGGCTGCTGCACATGTGAACAAGCCCTAAAGCAAAAAATGTGCTGTACATATACGGAGAAAAAGTGATAGGCTCACTCTTCAGAAGGCAACGTAGACAGGCTCTATGTACTTTCCATGCTCTCCCCAGATCCAGTTCCTGGAGAAATCCCCGGTACTTCCAGGTATGGGCGATATAGGACATAAAGCCCGCCTCCCTTCAGTGCAGCACTGGATGCCTGAGTGGCCAATCATCAAGTGACATGGGAGCCGGCGTGGAAGATTTGAAGCTTACATAGTATATGAGCATGGTTTAGCAATCAATGTAGAGGGGCAGCGAGGGAGAACGGGTGGGGTGCGGGGGAGGGGGGGTATAGGATACAGACCCTACCCCCCCCCCCCCCCCCCCCCCGTATAACAGTGCAGGTAAGGTACACACAGTGCTCACACTTTATATTTTCACATTTGTTGTAATAAGCTGAATAGAAGCCAACAGAGCAGAAAAAGGAACAGAAAAAGGGATGTGAGGGAAAGTCAAAGGCGTCCCATTGTGCACAGAGCTAAATGGGAGCACACAGGGATGTGTTGGGGGAGGGGCCATAATAGCGATTCTCAAACGTCAGCAACTTTCTTGTTAGGTCAGAGAGAGACATTAAAAATATAGTAAATCCTCATTTTTTTTTTAAGCACATTCAGCAGTTGACTTATTCATGGAGTCTGCAGCTTCTTCATCGTTGGTTCCAGTTTAAGGTGCTGCCATGACCGCTGTCTCAGGGTGGCTCCTTTCTCTTGCAGCATCCTATGGAACCAACCTTGCATGCAGGAACTTTGTGAGACACACAGCCCCATAGGCTAGGATGGCCTGGCACTCCCCTGATCCTCCTCCAAGCTAACGGGCTGTCTGCAGACTGTACTGTCCCTGTTAACCCTTTCCTGTCCAAAGTTCGGGGAAGCAGCGCTGAGAAAGCAGGAGCCAGCAGCATTGTAAACTACAAATGCTGGGGTGAGAATTTTAATGGTTTACTGGGGGATGTTAATGTTATTGTGCTCAATGTGTATACACTGCTACAATGAGGGTTTATGGCGTCACTAAACCCTGGACCCTGATTCAGTTTATGGCTCACTAAACCCTGGACCCTGCATTCACTATATCTGGTCTCCCCGGACCCTGCATTCACTATATCTGGTTCCCTGGACCCTGCATTCACTATATCTGGTCTCCCCGACCCTGATCTGGTCTCCCCCTGCATTCACATCTACCCTATCTGGTCTCCCCGGACCCTGCATTCACTATATCTGGTCTCCCCGGACCCTGCATTCACTATATCTGGTCTCCCCGGACCCTGCATTCACTATATCTGGTCTCCCCGGACCCTGCATTCACTATATCTGGTCTCCCCGGACCCTGCATTCACTATATCTGGTCTCCCACAGTACACAGAACATGGAAATGCAATTATTTTAGTAAATATAAACTGCTAAATACCTTTTCTCATCAGCAGTATACAGCAGTTTTGTGTCCAGCTGAGCACTGATTAAAGCTCATAGGAGTTTTCATTCTCCTCCAACTGTCCTATGAGGCTGCATAACCCCTGAACCCCTGTCTGGGCAGTGCGATTGACCCTGTACTGATCGCACGCACTCTCCCAAGAAAAAAAACACAAAAAACTCCAGCAATACATACCAAACTGAGCATGTGCAGAGTGACTCCTAGAGCTACTATCAGCCGATGGATTGGGGACAGCAAAAGAATCAGAGAAGACAGGGTCAAACATCCTTTTTACACAATGCAGAGGATTAACCCCTTAGATTCCACAGTGAGTATAACAAGCATGCTTTACTGCATATACAGACTGATTTTACGGTTGTGGGTTTAGTAACACTTTATTACCAGTTTAAAGAAAAAAAAAAAAAAAGCGGAGAAACGAAAACCAGACAAAACTGAAGTCGTTGCCAGATGTTTTAACTACTGATTAAAACAATGAATCTGGGTCACTACTGGGTTCAACATTACACACAGAAACATTTCTTCATTGGTATCAGTGGGAGGAATAGTGTCCCATCATTGGCGCAGTGGGAGGAATAGTGCCCCATCATTGGCATCAGTGGGAGGAATAGTGCTCCATCATTGGTATCAGTGGGAGGAATAGTGTCCCATCATTGGCATCAAAAGGAGGAATAGTGCCCCATCATTGGCATCAATAGGAGGAATAGTGCCCCATCATTGGTATCAGTGGGAGGAATAGTGCCCCATCATTGGTATCAGTGGGAGGAATAGTGTCCCATCATTGGCATCAGTGGGAGGAATAGTGCCCCATCGTTGGTATCAGTGGGAGGAATAGTGCCCCATCATTGGTGTCAGTGGGAGGAATAGTGCCCCATCATTGGCATCAGTGAGAGGAATAGTGCCCCATCATTGGCATCAGTGGGAGGAATAGTGCCCCATCATTGGCATCAGTGGGAATAGTGCCCCATCATTGGCATTAGTGGGAGGAATAGTGCCCCATCATTGGCATCAGTGGGAGGTAGTGCCCCATCAGTGGGTCAATAGGATGAATAGTGCCCCATCATTGGTATCAGTGGGAGGAATAGTGCCCCATCATTGGTATCAGTGGGAGGAATAGTGCCCCATCAGTGGTGTCAATAGGAGGAATAGTGCCCCATCATTGGTGTCAGTGGGAGGAGTAGTGCCCCATCATTGGTGTCAGTGGGAGGAATAGTGCCCCATCAGTGGTGTCAGTGGGAGGATAGTGCCCCATCATTGGTGTCAGTGGGAGGAATAGTGTCCCATCAGTGGTGTCAATAGGAGGAATAGTGCCCCATTGTCGATGTCAGTGGGAGAAACTATGCCACACTGTTGCTTGCAGTGGGAGGAATAATGACTCGTGGGCCGCAGTTTGGAGACCACTGGTCTAGATGAACTGATATAAAAATAACATTTAAACAATTTAAATAACACAATCATTTCCAGATGCTTCAAAACTAGGAGTGCAAACAAGACTTTTTTTCATAAACCTGGAAAGCATTCCCCTTGCCAGCATGCTGTAGAGAAGGACCCTTGTTTTGTTTGTGAAAGCAGCGGTCTCTCTGCAGAGGTCTGACTTCATCACGTTGGCAGGGGACAGGTTGTGGGTTTTTTTCAGGACTTGGCACATCTTTTGTTTTGCTGCATCTAGAATATACTTTTCCATATAAACTGAATGTTCTGTTGAGCTTTAAGTAAAACACCCTTCTGTAATTGAATTCTGGTTTTGTATAGGAATGTGCATTAAATCCATCAGATAAGACTTACCATGTTCAGGCTTCAGTACAAGATCCCCTGCGTGTCTCTGCAAGTAAGAACATACATGTGCAGAGTGAGAACTGTCGTCTGATGGGTCGCTATGCTGACTCGGATTTATTGGCATTTGAATAATACATGGGATCACAGGGTAAGCAGGTGCTGTTTGACATTACAGAACATCTTGCAGCAATTCGCTTTTAAAAGAGATCTCCGCCCAAACCTTCTCTCTTAGGTATAGGGTATTGAGAGGTGAAGCCCAATTCTGCGTTACGGTTAAATCCATTACATACATTCTAGGTGCATTCAACAAAAAAGTGTTCAATTTCTTATGGTTTCTTTTCTTCAACAAGCAGCCAGACCCTGTTCACACCTATGCAGCGCGGGAAACGCTGCGAATCCTGTGCGTTTCCTGCCGTGCAATCGCATTGCATTCATGCGACCTGGTGTGTGTGTCAATGATAAATGAATGACACCCCGAAACAGATTGCAAAATGAGATTGTCAGAGATCGCATGGGTGAGAACACGCATGCAATGCGATTCAGGTGAGTATTTAAAAAAGGGTCCTGCACCTTTTTGGTGCGGATCCAATGCGATTTCAGCCATACGAAGTGTATGCCTCAAACAGCACCGCACAGACATTTGCTTGTCATTCACAGGAATGCAGTGCGATTCCTGAGCGAGTTACATGCAGTGTCCCGCACTGCATAGTGTGTACCCGGGCTGAGGGTGAGATTTAGGGGCTCAAAGTCGAAAAGCCTGCCCAATGCCAAGCATACTCCAGAGTGAGACCCTTGATTTCTGTAGGAAAGCAATGAT